CTAGGATCGAGTCCTGCATCGGGCTCTCTGCTCAGCTGGGGGCCTGCTTCCTTCTCTCTCTCTGCCTGCCTCTGTCTACTGTGATCTCTCTCTGTCAAATAAATAAATAAAATCTTTAAAAAAAAAAAATCCCCCAGATATTCTGGCTACACAGATATAACCAGCTTGGGAAAATTCCTTGATCCAGACAGTTATAATATGTGCCCTTTGGTGTCTTCTGCTTCAGTCAAGTCTTGATTTACCATAAAGAACTATTATGGCAAAATGATCTATATATTTATAAAAGTGATTATTACTCAAAGTCCTATTATTCATCCATTTTGGCAGGTATTAATTCATATTATATTTACATACATATATTTTCCAATTATGTCAACTAAGCCAGAGATCTTAAAACCTCGTGACAAATTAATACTCTAGGTTTCTGATATTTTTTTTAAGAATTTATTTATTTATTTGACAGAGATCACAAGTAGGCAGAGAGGCAGGCAGAGAGAAAGGAGGAAGCAGGCTCCCTGCTGAGCAGAGAGCCCAATGTGGCGCTCAATCCCAGGACCCTGGGATCATGACCTGAGCCAAAGGAAGAGGCTTTAACCCACTGAGGCACCCAGGCGTCCCTAGGTTTCTGATTTTTAAAGTACTTATATGAATGACCACAAGAGGTCTCTATTTTTTAAGAATAACCTGCTTGCTTTTTCTTTTGTCCTTTTCTCTTTTATTTATTTTTTTTTCTTTTTTTGGCTTTACAAATTAGAAAACAGAAATGATGGTATTCTCAAGAGAATATATTTAACTAATTAAGCTATCTCATTCAAAATCAAATTTTCCAAAATGAAAAAAAAAAAAATCCTTTACACATACATGGGAAAACAGTGGTCTCCAATTCCTCTTGATAATAGCAACATTAACGCTAAGCACTCAGAAGCTACTTCACCTGCTCTGCTTTGACCCTTGCCAGTTATCCAATACACGTGAATTGTATAGAATTTGTAATTAGTGTGCACGTAAGAAAAATGGAGAGGAGATCCTTATTTAGAAATTATTTTGAGAATTTTTATCTCAAAGGTGAATAGTTCCTGTTGTCTGACATTCTCAAGCATCTGCAAAACCTTAAGTATTATTTAATTGAATGGGATAAAAGTTGGCTCATGGAGTACATTGATTTGGTTAAAGAATTGTGATGATTCTGCCGAGTTTACCAGAGCTCTAATGAACATGACTCCTGTATTTGATTCATCCTAGTGGTTCTCAAAGTGTGGTCCCCTGACAAACAGATGAGTATCACCTGGCAACTTGTTAGAAATGCACATTCTACTGAATCAGAAACTCTGGAACAATTGATGTTTTAAAAAGCCCTCCAGATTTTTCTGATGCACTTGGGGTTTGAGAACTAACAATTCAGTGTAAAACTGATGAACCATTCCAGTTCTCTATCCCTTATTTGCCCCATCTGTAAAATTAATAGAGCAGAATCATGTCTGAAAACACAACTTACAGTATCTGGCTGACTTAGAGTAATCTGGAAAATGTTCAAATAATCTGAAAACACTTCCACAAAACAGTCTGATAAAACTCCATGGTGCCAAGTCACCAGTTACAGTTTATAGGCTCAAGATGCCAAGACACCTCCACTTTCCCCTCAAAAAAATGTAGATTACCCCCTGTGGATTTCTAAGCAAAAGTCTCAATGACCTCAGAATAACCCAGATGTACTTTTGAAACTCTAAAATATTACCTCTGATCTTTCTTGCATCCCAGAACAAATAATCATATTTAATACGGAGTGTTACTTATTAATTCAGGAGGCTCTAGCTATGGGATTACTGTATACTTATAAAAATTTGATTTTCTAGTCTCTCAAAGAATGACTATTCAGGTTAATGTACTAAATTCTTTATTTTTAACTAGAGAATCCACTTTGAGCTATATTTCTGGTAGAAAAAAATGTGACATATATGTCCACCCTCTCTCATCTATCTCTACTATGATGAAAGGTGTACATTTCAGAATAAACACATGAATATAGTTTAATACATAATTTAAGCAAAGATATATGCAGGTTTCATGTGCCCTGCATGGTTGCTAATATTTTTTGGAGTGTTTACTGTGTGTCAGGAACTATTTCGAGCCCTTATGTGTAGATTGTATTTAACACTTGCAAAATCCCTTAAAATGAGAAATATCTCCATTTTATAGACAAGGTTACTTGGCACAGAGAGGTCAGGAAATTTCCCACACTCACACTTATTAGCCCCAGAAGCCTGATCTAGAGCTCATGTTCTTACCACTGCAAGATGCAGCCTCTGTATATGAGAGACAACCATAGGGTCATCAGCTCTGATTTCACTAGTCTCATATGCAAATATTACCTATTTCTTCAGACACTAATTGTTTTAATTCAGGAATTTTTTGCCCAAGACTGTTTAGAGTTCATAGAGAAAAAACAAAAACAGGGAATAACAGGATGGAAAGAATATTCTCCTAAAACTAAACCAACACTTATAAATTTGAATCAACATTCCCCTAGTAATATCTAATATCCTTCTAAAAGTTTACGAAGTGCTTTAAAAATAGTATTCATTTGATTGTCCCAACAAACCCCCTTTTGGAGGCAAGGAATCAGCACTGAGATATGATACGTATAGCACCCCACTAATAAGTGGTAGAGCAGGAACTGGAACACAAAGTTTCCATCTCCAAATCCTATGGACATTCAACCCCATCCCACAGCTCTCAAGAGGCTCACCACTTGCCTCAGCCTAGGTACAGGCCAACCCGAGAACACTCCATTATTTATTACATCACAGTCTGACTTCAGTCCCCTTTCTTGACTTTACAGTGAAGGATTTGGACACAATGATCCAGTACTGTGGGATCATTTCACTGTCTGAGTTCAGTGCCTGAGGTTACGCTTCACTGTGTAACTTGTCCACTTTAATTTAGCGTCGCCCTCCACTGCAGACCATAGCCCAACTAAGAGCTCAGACTCTAAAGTCGGAGCTGGGAACAAATCCTTGCTCCACCACTCACCAGCTCTTTGATGGTAGGCATAGCTTCCTCACCTGCAAACCAGGAAAAATAATCGTACCACTTTGATTGGGATAGATTGAGGATTGGCCATGATTTATAAAATGTTAAGTATTTAACACAATGTTTAGCATAGGATATATGAAAATTATAACAGATAATAATGATAAGATGGTAAAAGTAACTGGTATTTTTTTAACATCCTGGGTAAATGTTTACTGTTCGTATGGTATGTTCTCCAGTCAGAGGAGTTTGGCTGCTAGATCGGCTGATCCTTGGGGCTTCACTTTTGGCAATTCTAACAATTTCATATAAATTTTAGCCATTTAAACTTCAAAAACACACATGAAAGCATCAGCATTAGGTAGAAATTAAATATTTATTTTCTTTTAGAAGTTAAATATTCCTAACGAAAGAAATAACAACAAAATATTTAGATACTATGCATAGATCCACACATTTCTAGGCTTTATGCTCTGCTGATTTGTTATGCCTTGCTGATTGTGTTAATATTAGGCAAACGTCAATTATAATATGAAGATAAGAGAAGTCAAGGAGAAAAAAAACGAGTCACTTCCCAGTGTGCTTGACTAGTATTTGAATAATATCACTAATGCGTCTTTCTTAATGTTACATTAATAAAAGGTCTATTTATAAATGTTTGCAACTCTGAAAGCCTCTAGAATATTCAGACACAGTCTTGAAGGAAACATATTCCATAGAAGACACTTAAAACTTGAGTGTGAAATTGTACCTTTTTATTAGTTGTGTTTCCTAAGATAAGTGCTTTCTTACTAATTTACAGTGTGCTTGTATACAGTTTATCATTTAATCACAACTACAGAGTGCCATTCTCTCAGTGGAAGGTGACTTTTTCTCCCCATTTCCCAAAAGGTGACTTAGGTAGTTTTCCCAGACACCTTTTATCATTCTCTTTTTATGTTTAAAGGAAACTTTCCAGGGATTTAAGATCATTTGGCACTTATCTTTGTAATTCAAATTAGAATATTCAATAATACCCTGGAATTCATTTTTCTAATATCCTTGCTCTTGTGTTCTTTTAGTCACTAAATAGTAAGTGGAGAAGTTAATTTATGCCTACATTGTCTCTGGCCACATTAAAAAAACGGCCTAGAAACTCAGAGACATAAGCTTTAAAGAAAGAAAATGCTAATGTTGCAAGGATTGCTCTAAGTCAGATTTTGCTTTGTTAATTTATAAATAGGACAAGATAAGGTTCTGGGCAGCCGCATATCCTGGGCATTAAATAGTGGTCTATGTTTCTTTGGCACCAACTTCAACACACTGGAATGATTTTTTTTTCTTAACCACCCAATATCACCAGGGATGTTGAGAGAACAAACATGAGAGCTAGTGCTACAAAAACTACTTCATTTATCTTGTTGGTCTTAATAAGATCCTAAAGAAGCATAAGATAATAGTGACAATAGAACAAAGTGCTGAATTTTACATTGCGATACCCAAGTCTAAAGCAGCGTGTTTTAATCTTTCACATACCATATTTTTTAAATAAAAGCCATACTGTGGTTCAGAGGGAAAAGATCAATTTGAATCCTAAGCATATAACTGAGACAAATGAAAAGATGAAATTGAATCTGTGACTGTTCATGCTGCATGAGAGAAATGGGTGACGTGTGACCACAATGAACTGTTGCCAGTGACTCCCTAAGTGACATTGGGGACTGGTTGGGGAGACCAGTAAACCACAAAGATCACAGAGAGGAGCCTGGCTTTATAAGCAATCATGTCCTTTTAGAGGAGGGCAGTTCAACAGAAAAAGGAAAACTTGTCAAATTCAGGTGATGTTTGCTTCCATTTCCAAAAAACCAAATATATGTATCAACTTAAAAACTTTTCAGCCTGAAAAACTATTGCTCTGTGCAAGTCCTGCGAATGTAAAAGCCCACTGTTGGTAATTCCAAGTGGCGAAAGAATGTGAAGATGGTAAAATCACCACCACCCAGAGACATGGCCATATAGTAATATGAAATTGAAATATACATGAAATGAGACAGATGGAGATGAAGCACCAGAAGTCCCAGAAATGGCTGGAGCCCCAAAGCTTGGTCTGGAAAGGGAGACTTGAGTAGTTTTAAAGGGAGGGAGGTGCCCCTTCCTCTAAGACCTCCCCGGAGCAAAGGTGCTGATTCCGTACAATGAAGTAGCTGAAATCCAATGGGCCCTCTTTAAATAACTGATGACCAACAAGAGCCCTCTTTTTCACCTTCCTCATTACACATGTGCCTTGATGGCTGTGGCAGCTGCAGATAACAGCAAGTTCTCAGGCAGACGTGCAAGGAAGTTCACGGCTCAGCTCTCAAGAGCCCTGAGCCAGCTGTCCGAAAAGCTGATTTAGAACTTACTCCCCAGTGGCCAGGAGGGTGTAGAGCCCCCTCTAGGTCTGCAGTGGGTTCTGTGCCCTTTTCTTCATAAGCTACATCACATCTCCAAAATCAAGGCTCTTGGTCAGCATCAGTTTCTGTACATGTTTCCTCCCAACTCCTGAGCCAGCCCTTGGTCGCCAGTAGGCCTGTTTGGTGCTGCAAATGTGATCCTGTCTGTCGTTTCAGCCTCAGCAGAAGAGCGACATGACCATATTTATTGCTGTTGCTATTCTGGGGCCTGGATGACGTTTTTCTCCCCTTGTGGCTGAGCACTGCCCGTTCATCTTTCACCACTCCCTCCAAGTCTGCAAGGCTAAAACCAGGGATACAAATAGACTCGATCAGGAGGAGAGTTATAATGAGAAGTTCTTAAGTAGTCTCAGTCTACTCGCTTTAATGCTATGGTATTAAAAGCTTTAAATTCTATAGTCCTAAATTTTACATATATGCTGTTCACATCCCACTATTATCATAAACTGCTATTGGTGGTAACTTTGCTTAGGAAAGAAAACTTTAGGGACGGGGAAAAACCCTGACTGATAAGCACAGCTTGGAAATTTGGCAAATGTTGAGTTTCCACTGCTGTGTGTGTTGGGACGGTCCAAATGTTATCAGAATACTTAAAGATTCTCACTTGCCTCCATCCCTTCACTCTTCCTACTAAGACACTCCCCTTCTATGACGTGAAAGGGACGACATGACAAGCCACAGAAATTCCTATTAAGGATACAATGATACAGGACACAGGTGACAGCTCCTGGAAAGTAACTATATACAGATTTTCTAAATGAAGAACATAGACAAATAACTACCTACCACATCCATCACACGATGCCCCAAAGGGGAGTGACGACTCTGACTCTACCACTAGCCCCTATTCATTACCAGTCAGCCAAGTCTTCTCCATGGCTCATAATCCCTCCACGATAGCGCTCACCTGACCGGTTTTCTGCACTTGGCAATCGTTACGTCTCTAGCTTTGCTAACATGAATTTTCAGGTTTCATGTGCCCTGAAACAAATCACATCTGTAATGGACACTGAAGCAGAAAACGGAGGGGAGGCAGTGGGTTACAGGAGTGGCAGGAGTGGGCTCTGGAGCCAACTGCCTGGGCTTGAAGCCCTGGTCCATCAAGGCGCCTTCAAGCTGCCATTTCCTCTATAAAATCAGGATGATAGGAGTAGCCCCCTCAGGGGTTGCTGTGAGAATTAAATGAGAAAACTGTATGGAAACAGATTCAAAGAGAACAGGAGCCTTGTTTTCATGTTAGAGTGGAGGAATTTAACATCACGGTAGCACATTTCCTTTGAAGGAGTTGTGGTTCACCTCCGGTCTGGGCTGCTCACTCTGAGAATGTCAATACGCAGGAGTTGTGCTCCAGATTTGAATGTTCTGGCTGCCAGCTGGGGAAATACCTTTTTAATACCCAGAGTAGTATTTAAAGTGTGCTATCAGCTGGCAGCTTGGGGGTTTCCACCTGAAAAGTCCACGCATTATAGAACTTTTTCAATAGAAGAACCTACAACGAGGCCTGATTCTTAGCATTAAGAAAGTAATAGAAATATCTGTATCTGTGTATCTGTAGCTTTTTTGCCCTGATTTGTGTTTTTGTCTTTCCTCCCTCTTTTCAGTTTTGTATTTCTGCATTCATTTCCACTGACGGTAGAATAACTAAATGGAGACCCATTTCCAACCATTTCCTCTTAATTTTGTCCCTTTCCTGGTAATTCAGGCACCTCCCAGTGTAATACAAATCTCCTTGGGGTGAATAGTCAAGTCTCCATTCTCCCTCTCTCTGGTGGTTGGAGTGCAGGCAGGGAATAAGTCTAATTTTTTGGTGCCCTAGTATTCACCTGACCTCAATAAAAGGGACACTTGGGGGTGCCTGGGTGGCTCAGTTGGTTAAGCAACTGCCTTCAGCTCAGGTCATGATCTTGGAGTCCCAGGATCGAGTCCCATATCTGGCTCCCTGCTGGGCAGGGGGTCTGCTTCTCCCTCTGACACTCTCCCTCTTGTGCTCTCTCACTCAAGTACGTAAGTAAAATCTTTAAAAAATAAATAAAAAATTAGAAAGGGACGCCTGGCTGGCTCAGTGGGTTAAGCCACTGCCTTCAGCTCAGGTCATGATCCCAGGATCTTGGGATTGAGTCCCGCATCGGGCTCCTTCCTCAGTAGGGAGCCTGCTTCTCTCTCTGCCTCTGCCTGCCACGCTGTCGGCTTGTGCACTCGCTCACTCGCTCGCTCTCTCTGACAAATAAATAAACAAACAAACAAACAAACAAACAAATAAATAAATAAAAGGGACATTTGGTTTGACAGTCTCTGGTCCTTACTGGCCTCCCCTGAAGTGTCTTGTCCAGCTGAATCTTTGGGAATTGAGCTCTGGCCTTGCCGCTTATGCTAAAGGGCTCATGTCTAAGGTCACTAGTGACCAGTCCCTCCAGCACGGTCCAGTCCAGTCCAGTCAGCGTGTGGCCATCTACCCCTCCCCAGTGCTGACTCAATCTTGGCTCTAACTGCTCCTCTGGAATTCAACCACATCTTCCATCCAGTCCCTGCCCTTAGTGTCATTTATCCCACTGCTGATGGATTGCAAGAGTTGTGACAACACTGAACCCTGAACTTGAGTTGACATACCACATATATTAACCTGATCAACTTAACACCTGTAGACTACATCACCTTCTGCCTCGTCAGAAAAAGCACATTGATTTTGCTGGCTGTTCTTTGTATTTGGAAAATTATACAAACTGCTTAGTTTTACAGAGTCCCCACTCAAATTTCTTTGAAAACTGTTCTTTATGTGCATGAGGGCAGGGCTAAGCTTTTGCAGGACCCCTAATATTTTCTTCCCACTCTCCAATAGATGGGTTTGTGTACCTGACTTGGGAGGCTAGTGCTATAAGCCTTTTTCAGCCACAAGTCCCAGGGAGCAGAAACCTCTGTGTTGCCTCTTTCTGACCTTGTCTGTCCTGAATGCCATAAGGAGGAACCACGGGGACATGTGACCATGTCCCAGTTGGCCTCTCCTTATACTCAAATCTTAATGATTCCTCTTGATTCCACACCAAACCTTGGATTCCAGTGATCCCTTCTGAGACTGATTTAAAAAAATTCATCCTGTCCCCATGGCTCTATGAGAAGGAATAGTTTCCTCTAGAAAATCTCCGGGAGCAATCCACACTCATTTAGAACCGTCTTCCAAACAGAAGTCCACACAGCCATAGCAAGTCACCCAAGTATTCCAGGGGGTCTGGTAATTCCAGATTTTTCCTTCTTCATGGCCATTACCTGGTTTCAGTGGCTGATCTTGTATTAATCTTTAGGCTAACATTGGCACTGAGTCTTTCTACTTTAATTGTTTCTGATGAATGAGAAGAGAGGCAGACCCAATAGTAAATGGGGTATCTCCACCAAGCAATAGTCAAATGGTATGCCAGTACACTGGACAAAGAAAGGCTTCCTAATAGATCCCATAGAGGAATCTCCAAAGGCATCAGTATGTGCTGAATCAGGAGAAGCTATGCCACTGTGGGCGGTGCTCTATTTTTTTAAAAATGCAAGCAGTGATTTCAATTCATCAAAACATCATCTGTCACATTAAATTCAGGTTGTTAATTTCAATATTACTTTAAATTTATATTGGCTTATGTTGTAACCAAACTGAAGTATATAGAAGTATGCCTTGTTTTATGGTTTATACATTTAAGGACACATAACAATGATCACATATTCAAATAAAAATAAAATTATTTAAACCACCATGGAAGGGAGGTCTATTTAAATTTCTGTTTTCCTTCCAAAGCTATTTGCACATTTCTCAAGATTGAAAAACACTGGTCTGGAGTAAGAGGGTATCATATCTTGCTTCAGGGTGTGTATCACAATCAACAAGGAGAGGCTGGCATTTGACCGATTTCATATTTTCTTTCCAATACTACCCTTCTTCCTCTCTTTTTTCCTCTGCCCTCTACCCCCAGCTATGGGGTAAGTTCTAAAACAGTCATCATTTCTTACTGACCTCTTAGAATAAGATCACAAATAGCCCTCATCCCTGCCTCCTTCCCCACCATCATCTCTCACCAAGATCTTCTCCCTTGCTCAGTGAGCCTCAGCACATTGTCGCATTTCAGTTCCTTCTATGTGGAAAGCTCTTTTCTACCTCACACTTGTTTCCTCTTCTCCAGCTGACCACCTGCGTATTTTCCAGGCTATAACTTACTCATCCTTCCGAGCTTAGCTCAAATGCCACTTTGTTAGAAAGGTGCCTGAACTGTATCTGTTGGAGTGATGGATGGATGGATGGATGGGTAGGTGGATGGATGGATGGATGGATGGATGGATGGATGGATGGGGAGGCCTTTCCTGATCTTGCGATATAAATAAAAGTATCACTTGATATTCCTTTCTATAATACTACTTTTTCTTCTATAAATCAGCAATTTTCAATGACATATTGACTTAGTATCTACCCACTGCACCTCAGTGGACTGTACATTCCATGAGGGCAGGTCACTAATGACTTCATACCCATTAGAGGGCATTCCATTCAGAAGGCGCTCATTGTGTGTGTGTGTGTGTGTGTGTGTGTGTGTGTATACTGAGTAAATGAGCAAAAGGAACAACTGAAGATTACGTTCACATCACTAAGCAACTGTAAACATTTTAAAGTCTTTTAATTAATGGATTATGTTAACATGGGACAATCCAAAGAATGATTAAATTTTTAAGACAATGATACATTTGGGCCTTTGAAAGGAAAAAGAATCTCAAGCCAAAACAGCCTTTGCATGCAGCCAGCCTCCTGAAACTCTAATCAAAGACAAAATATATACTATAATCAGTATGAGAGTCACTATAAAGGCTACAGATTTTTTAGTGAAATTCAGTTATTGCTTGGACACGATGGCTCTTAAGATATGTATGATTCAGTAGTTGTCAAACCATATTCTCATAAAGTAGATTCTTTTTTTTCTCATTTAACCAATATAATGATTTAAAAAAAAATTAAAAAGATGGTCCCAGGATCATCTCAACACATTTTCTTCCCGTGTGTTTAACCCTAAGCCCCTCCTGTCTCAACTGCTCTAAACCCCCAGGAGTGACAGACAGAAAAACCAGCTAGCCCAGGTACCAATCATCAGGAGTGAGGAGGGGGCAGGCCAGTGTGTCCCGCCACCACAGTGCCCAGCTAGTCCAGGGCCACATGAAACTTGCCAGCAGGATTAAGACTATAATTCTAAACTGTCTGGAAACCTCAGGAGCTGGGGCTGGGGACATTTTGCTATTTCCCCATAGAGACATCAGTGACTG